GGAGCAAAAGGAGGCCGGGAATCCCTCCACATCTCAACCCGGAAGACTGGGCCCCTTACCCGGAGTTGGCTCTTGCTGGACCGCTATGACTCATTTTTCCCATTACCCCCTACACCTCCTCCTCTGTATCCGCTCTACTTGAACCCTAAACCCTAAACCCTACGAAACGGGCAAGTCGCTCTAGCCTAAATCCTAGCATAACCTAACTAACTGCCCCAGAGGTTGAAGCTCTATGACTAGCCTTCCGCTATTACTGTCTTACCTATAGCTTTTAGATACCTCTTCAATACCTCAAAACCTCGTTACTTCTTATTTGAACCCTCTATCTTTCAAAGCAGTGGAAAGTCAGCGTCAAGCCTGTCAATGTTGCTATCTTCCCTTGGAGCAAAACCTTCCTTTGAAAATTTTCCGTTAGGTCCTTGGCTTGCATTGGGTTTTGCTGGGCCTGCTTGCGGATTCCCTTCCATTGTGCCCGGATGTCGTTTTCCACTAGATTGTAGAGTGTCTCCTTCGCTTCTTGCCTGTGCATTTGCTTGTTTCCGATGGCCTGCTGGCATCTGCGTTTCCATATCGTCCATAGTACGTATTGCCTTATAAGCTGGAAGGTGCGCTTCTGACACCGAGGCCCGACCGCCGGAGGGTCACTTCCTATCAGAAGTGACTCCTCGCCCTCGGGGAAGGGGGAGTCTGTAATTGTGGTCCAGAGTGACTTGGCCACATCCCATAGATATGCTGCTTCTGGGGAACAGAGGAGACAGTGACGCAGGGTCTCTGGTACTCTTCCGTGCATTGTGTGCACTGTTGACTGGAGGGATCACGGTGGTGCTGACTGCGATGCTCAAAGAGCGATGAGTTGACCGGGACTGCCATGTGGAGGATCAACCACTGCAAACTCCTTACCTTGCTTAAGCGGATCTGATGTAGGGATGACCATGGTAATCTTGCCGCTTTTTCCTTCGGCATCTGTATTCTCTTTTCCCATCTAAGTGCCAAGGGTTCAGCTAATGGCGATGAGCGCTTCCTGAGTCTGTAGCCCAGCTTGGTTGTATAGTGCAGTATGTTGGTCGTGCCTGGTGAGCCCCCCCCTAAGGTTCCAGGCCCACTATGCTGGGTCAACCTCCAAGTTCTGAATATCCGTTGCTGGAGCAAAGAGTGTGAATTCCTCCGTCTCGATCACCCTCACTTTCCTCCACTGGTCCTTTTTTATTGTGATCTGGGTGGCCGTATCCTTGTCCAATTGACTTCTATAGGCTCCTGGGGATTGGATTGTGTATATCTGTGCGCTCAGCCATTCTGCTCCAGGTCCCCCCTGTCCCCCAATTCTAAATGCTTCCGTTGGAGCGTCCTTATTGCCCCAGACTGCCCGCTCTCCGCAGTCCCAATGTCCCGGCCTCCGGAGTAACCTGACCCAAGACAAGATCTCACTCAGATTCTCCGCAAGCCTGTGGCTCCCCTTCAACACCTGCCTTAGCTCTCGAGCCGTCCTCCACTGATGTTTGTCTTCCGACCAGAGGTGTTTGACCTGCCAGATGCCGTGCTCCAGCCAGGTTCCCCACTTAGTGTCTTTCGTCGTAAGAGTGCGCGGTTTCCCCGGCTGGTCCTTAACCCATGGATTGCAAAAGAGGGGTTGTCTCAGGACTTCCTCTCTCGTGCTTGGTTCCTTGACTTTCGCCAGGAAAATTTGGACAGAGTGATTTAAATGTTCTCATCGTTTTTTGCAGGGATGCCAAGGAAGCTCTATGTGAGGAGGGCATATCAGACCATCGAATTTCTCGCGTTGAAGACCAGGTTTGTCAGTGGAACCTGGACCTTCACCACTAGCTGTATCGTCTTTATAGCTGTTTTGTGTTTTTTTTCTGGGTTAGGCCTATGCCCGGTCCAGACGGACCGGGCCTGACGGACGGGGGGGGGTCCGTCCGGCAAAACCAGACGGGCCAAAAAACGTCCCAGGATTTTTTTTTATTTTTTTTTGAAGATGGGGTTGGACTGCGCTCACTGAGAGGAGCCCAAATCCGCAGAGAAACTTGTGAAAGGCATGTGTGCTGGGGGAGGGGGTTGTGGGGAGGGGGGGGGTTGTCAAGGGGTAAAACCGTAAAAGGGTGTGTTGCAGCAGCCAGTTCAGGAGGGGTTAGAGGAGGAGGAGGACCTGCCGGTAAAAGGGTGTGTTGCAGCAGCCAGTCCGCTGAGAGGAGGGGMTAGAGGAGGAGGAGGACCTGCAGGTAGTGTATGGGGATGACGGAAAAAGAAAATAATAATAAGAGGACGATGAAGGAGGACGAGGAGGAGGAGGAGGAGGAGAGAAGGAGAAGACGAAAGTAGGTGGAGGAGGAGGAGAGAAGAAGAAGAAGAGAGGAGGAGGAGGAGGAGGAGAGGAGAAGAAGAACTGCAGTCTGCCCGCTTCCCTTCTATTGTTCGAGCAGAAAAAAAAAAAGAGGAATGGGAGATGGTGGGCAGTGGGAGATGGCGGGCAGTAGGATATGGTGGTGGAGGAGGAGGAGGAGGAGGAGGAGGAGGAGGAGGAGGAGGAGGAAGAAGAAGACGAGAGGAGGAAGAGGAGGGGGGGAGGAAGAAGAAGAAAAAGAGGAAGGGAAAGAAGAAGAAGACTACAAGAAAAAGAGACGAGTAGGAGGTGGAGGAGGTGGAGAGAAGAACAAGGAGGAGGAGGAGGAGGGGGAGGAGCTGCCAGTTCTGTATGGCGATGACGAGAAAAA